CTCTCCTGCCTTCCATCTCTGCATGCATTCAGGGTGGTACTGTCAACAGCAGCAACCCACTGAACATGGGTAAATACAGACAGGCAGCAAATTAAAGGAAGAATCGGAGTAAATCAGTGGCCTCTTCCAGGATGACAACATCCCCATCCACAGGGCATGAGGGGTCACAGACTGGTTGAAGTATGAAAATGATGTGAATCATATGCTATGGGCTTCACAGTCACCAGATCTCAACCCAATTGAAAAGCCTAGATGAGCTGAATGAATTTTACTGCAGGTTTGAGAAGCAGAACTCCACATACACCACCCTCCTCACCTTAGACCCACAGCTACTCCCTCCACGATCGCCTCCCTTCCCTCAGCCCCCCAACCTCTGACGATCTATGAAGAGGTTATACGAAATCCTCTTTAAAAAAATGAAAAATCAGGAAGGCAACAGGCCCAGACAGCATGACCCCCTTCTACTTGAAGGCTTGTGCTGACCAGCTGGTTCCCATCTTCACACAAATATTCAACAGATCACTGGCGCTGGGTGAAGTCCCCTCCTGTTTCAAATGCTCTGCCATCATCCCGGTCCCCAAGAAAACCACCATCAACAGTCTCAAAGACTACAGACCCCTTGCCCTGACATCTGTGATCATGAAGTCCCCTGAGAGGATGGTGTTGGCCCACCTGAAGGACATCACAGGCCCACTGTTGGACCCCTTGCAGTTTGCCTACCAGGCAAACAGGTCAGTGGATGATGCAGTCAACATGGCACTGCATTACATCCTGCAACACCTCAACTCCCCAGGGACCTATGCACGGGCCCTCTTTGTGGATTTCAGCTCAGTGGTCAACACCATCATCCTGAACATCCTCCACTCCAAACACGTCACCTGTCAGTGAATAACTAGCTTCCTGACAAACAGCAAGCAGCAGGTTACAGAGAAATCATTGACTCTGTTCTTTGCTCTTCCATCACTGTCTGGTTTGGTTCAGCAACCAAAACAGGACAGGAACAGACTCCAGCAGACAGTCAGGACTGCGGAAAGAATCAACAATGCTTGGACCATGCAGGACCTGTACACCGCACGGGTCAAAAGGAGGGCAGAGAAGATTTCTGCAGAGCCCTCAAATCCTTGACACAAACTGTATGAATCCAAGTGAACAAACAATCAGTTTGTGTAGGTTATAGTCACAAAAATGACAAGTTATTCAGGCTTTGGTTGCACTAAGACTTACTGTATCTATAAAGACTCGAGAATTGAAAACAGAAACCTTTCATTTGCTTTGGTAAAATAAACAATAAAGGCCTTGTACACCCACACACTTGCATATCGACATACTTAGAAGAATATAGTCTAAATTACAAAGACAAAGAAAACACTTATTAACACTAAATGGCTTTGATTTGATTTGGACATGCCCCAAAAAAGAGCTCTTATATCTGCTTTGATGGAAAATGAGCTTTTTCTAGAGTTGCACCAATTATATTCTGAGCAAATGTTTCCAGTGTTGACAGCATGTTGGACTTTTCAGTTACATTTATTTTGAGCTATTATTTACAGAAAGAAGATGAAATTAGCAATGGAAAATAAATGCTATTCCCTCACTACCTATTTAATCAAACTGGTATTGTTGATTATTTTCTGGGGGATGTAGTAGAAAGCCCTCTGGTTTCAGTTCCTGCTAGATAGTTTGTCAGTGTTAAGACATTTTGCTGCATATGAGTCCAAGCAAGAAACATTAAACTAACAACTACAACCAGGATGTTTCTTCATGTCACTTTTAATCATATTCCCTGGGCTGGATGTAACATGAAGGAGTCAAATTCAAAACATACAGCAGCATCAGAGGCTAGCACTACAAGGCTGTGGTGTTACTGGGCATCATTACATAGTTTATAATCCATACCACATTACTGCATTGTAGGGAGTTGTCTGTGTTGTTGGTATGTCAACCTTTTACCCACAGGCCTCTGTAGTATGTTATATTTATGTTAAGAACAATAACAATCAATGTATCTGTGTTTTGTTTCTTATCAGACTGGAGCACATGTCAGCTGAGTCCTAATGCAGTGTGTGGGAGTGGCATCAAGACCCGGATGCTTGATTGTGTTCGCAGCGATGGAAAGTCTGTTGATATAAAATTCTGTGAGGAGGTGAGAACTGCGAAGATTCTTCTCTTGTGCTTCTCATTTTGTTTCTTGGGTTCTTTAGTTATTACTTTTTCTTTGAGTTTTCTTAATGACATGATCACATCACTCATTACAATGTAGTATCATGCCCTTCTAGTACTTTTAGGCCCACAGCAACATGAAATATTCAGAAGGGCAGATTGTTGTTGCTGCTTCAGGCTGAGCACCTTATTCATTCATAATGTGTCTCGGCTCTCTGTAGTTGTAGCCAGTGGGCTGTGGCAGAGTCGCACCCACAGCTATTTAACCCTTGGCCCATTTTATCATCTGGCTCATTCAGAAAAAAACGCGTGTCAGAATAACTTTCGCAGCAGCTCTGGTATTCCACCTCTGCTGGCCTGATGCTGCTCAGGTCCTCTACCAGGAAAAAGGCTTCTGGGAATTCTAGTGCTGAGAGGTCAAGCTGCTGTCTGACCAGATCGATTTGTCATGAACTACCCCCTCGTTTCCTACATGTGCTGCAGTTGAATCTGGAGAAGAAGTGGCAGATGAACATGTCCTGCATGGTCGAGTGTCCCGTCAACTGTCAGCTGTCGGAGTGGTCAGTCTGGTCAGAGTGTTCACAGACCTGCGGACTAGAAGGTAAGATTGATAAGATGTGTTTCTCAGCACTGTGATTAACTAACTGAAATGGTTATTTATACTACACTTTTCATGTGCAGTCAGGAGATAAAATCGGAGTAAAAGCAAAAGCCAGAGCAAAGAGCACATACAACTCCAGTTCAAGGACAGATACAGTAATTAAACATTTTAACACTACAACAAGTCTACAAATGCTTTTAAGACATGATATAAAAGATGGTGTGAAATTAGCCAAGCTGAGCTCACTTTACAGTCTTGATGGCAAATGGCAAACATGACTTTTAACTCTTGACTTTGCAGCAGATAACAGGGCCCTGTGGCCCAGCTCAAATGGGGTTAGCTCTTAAAATATCAGTGAGCACAAATGTCATGTTCTGTTTTTGGGAAACATATGATATGATGCACACAACATTAAGAAAAAAAATCTGGTGTCTTGGAATTGTACGTTTCATTCAGTGTAAACATTGTGTAGCTTCAATGAGGATTTGGAACAATACAAATTGTTTATTGCAATGAAATTTAGTGTAGAATGAGATTATTTTAACACTCTTAAAGCTGTATCTACTGCAGGGTTAAAAAGGCTAAAACTGTTTGTTAAGTTTAATTTAGTAAAAGAGTCTGAGTATCTTTAAAAACACTATAATGGATGCATTATTATTATTATTATTATTATTGTTGTTGTTATGAAGATGTTGAAAGGTCTCCAACATAGTGTAGTTGATGGCAGATTAATCTGCAGTTTGTTTGGTATGTTTTAACCTCCATTAAACACACAAGAACAAGAAACGCACTTAACATGAATGAATCAACTGAGTAGGTGAATATGTTCCGTAACCAGGTCTGCCAGGTGTGCTTGGAATAAAAATGTCATCAAGAAGATTAGCCTATAATGTCACAGATAATGCACTGGATGGATGGATGTACTGTGATAAAAAGAAAAGGATCGTAAACAGTTGTGACATTTTGTTAATAGTCACAGACCTGCCCACCTGTAACGTATAACATTTGCCACTCTAAAGCCAGTGACACCTCCCCTCGACCCTGCTGAAAAACAAAAGAAGAAGAAGTCGAGTTCGACCAATTATAGCGCTGGATTCGGGATTGATTGATAAATGCGTAAAGTAGCTAGGATCTGTAAACTGACAGAAACATGCTTGTCCGTGATTTTATCCCTGGCGTTCCCCCTCCTCACTCAGGCTGACTGGTTCCTCAAGTGAGCTCGGTTCTTTGAACTCCTTTAAAAAGGTAAATGGACATGGGGGACGTGGAAAGTTAAGATTGGGGATTAGCGTTAGCCTAATGTTATGTAGCGTTAACTATGTACAAGATGGCTACATGTTCACCAGTCATTAAAGCTGGCAAAGTAATGTGGGTTGCAGATGGTTAAACTTACCTTTTCATAGTCGAACCAGTAATACTAATGAGCATCATGACACCCCGACTAGGATTAAAAAAAGGAGGTGTAAAGATATAACCAGAATGGCAGTACTAGCTAAAGCCTATACCAAAGTAAAGCCCCAGAATGAAGGTGACATTAAGTGCTTGTGCTTTCTCCAAGGTTGGTAGGTCTGCTTGTAACGTGAAAGAAAATGCAACGGAGTCAAGTTCATGATGCTCAGCGGCCAAATATGGAAGACTGGTTGTGCTTGGCAGCCAAGATTTGTGAATACAGTATATACATGTATGTGGAGCAGGAAGATGCAAGAAAAACATGCATGTCTGGGAGGGGTCGTGTGCAAACAACATTTTAAAAATACTTTCACATATACAGTACTGCTTATCCTTAGTTTGTAAAAATATGAATGCTCTGCAGATTGTGCTAGGATAACTATGAAAGTCACATATCAAACGCTTCCTGTTTTCACTGGAGGCATTTGACCAGAAAAAAACTGACAGAAGCACAGGGGAGGAGGTGTAGAGAGAGTGATTGTGTTACAGTCTTGCCAAATGAACGGCAAACATTTGTTCTCCCGTTAACAATGGCTGTTCTTCTGGCAGTTTACAGAAGGGATTCTGTCCATTTAGATCTTCATGCTCCTCAGGACTGTGGGAGCACTTTGAAGAAGAGGCGCTACAGTGATACTTGCTAAATCACAAGGAACAAGATAAAAGTTTAAGAAAGCCTCAAGGAGCAAGAGAGGACTTTATTTGATGGTTTTGTGTTTGTATATGTGTGTGGGATGTTCTCTTGTTGGAATAGGAAATTAGGTTGTATAGTTTGTGTGTGAGTGTGTCTGTGTGGGAAGGCCGGTTTGTGTTTTGTGTTGAAAGGTGTCGTAAATTGGCAAAGGTGCATTCTGAGGTGAGCAGATTACAGGCTAAGCTGTGTGAAAATGAGAGTGGGATATGCCACAAATGAAGGGCTCCGAGATTTGAGAGTGGGCAGTTTAGAGAATGTTGACAGCGGTGTTGTATATTGAGATGTGTGTGTGTGTGTATGTTTGTGTGTGTAAAGCGTCTGTGTTGAGTTTTGTCTTAGCATCTTAAATCAAATGGTCTCTGAGGTGTTAGCTGTTGTGTTATATTGGATTGATTTAAAGAGCATTTGTTGATTGATATGGAAGAAAACCTGTTTTACTCAAGTGGAGCAACAAGCAATCAAAATATCTGAGAGAATTTCAGGCTCTCTAGAAAATCCAAATTTGTTAAGTAAAGTGCTCTTGTGCACAGTAAGATTAATGTAATGCATTCAAAACAAATGCATGCATTTAAAATGAGCTGCTGTGTGGTCTACCACGATGATCGCTGCATGTGCTGCATCTGTTTGCATTAGTGCACTGTGCAGGAAACAGCCACTTTACACTTTGAATAACTAAATTAATTATAAAGATCACTGAGCATACGTATGTGTTCTGTTACAACTTGATACTGGGATGAGCAGTTGATTAGAGAGGGTCTTGTTTTTTTACATCTTGAGCTCTTTTGTTGAACAATGGCTTTACAAACAATCAGGTTGTATGGATAGAATATCTTGGTCCTCTTTCGGCTGCTCCCCATCGTTTAGAGGGTCACCACAGCGGATTACTGTGATCCGCATATGTGATTTGGCACAGGTTTTATGTTGGATGCCCTTCTTGACACAAGCCTCCTGTTTTATCTGGACGTAGGGCTGGCACAGAGAGTGTTTTAGCATGTGCAACCCCAGTGGGTGCACCTTGTTCCCAGGCAGTCCCCCATTCAAGTGCTAACCAGGTCCAACCCTACTTGGCTTCAGAGATTGGACGAGATCAGGCACGGCCAGGGCAGCATGGCTACTGTGTAGAATATAAACCTTAAACATTAGTAGGAATGGCATGACTATCACAGGTAAATGAATAAAAGCAACACAAAAAAAAGATTTCACTTCCTTTGTGTTTTGTCCAGGTAAGATGTGGAGGCAGCGGTCAGTGGTTCAGGCCTCTCAGGGTGATGGCCGGCCCTGCCCTTCTCAGATGGAGCAATGGAAGCCCTGTCCCGTCCGACCCTGCTACCGCTGGCAGTACAGCCCCTGGTCCGAGTGTCGGGTGGAGGTAGGTCTATAAATCACAACGTTATACCGTAATCAAGGGGCATTAAATATTAACGATGGTTATCGACCTCTGTCAGCTGGGGTCGATACACATAGGAACTTGAGCCAGAAAGTGGATTTTTGGAAGAGAGAAACCTCTGGGAAAAATAATGAAGTCTTCAGTATTGATGAAGAACCTCATCAAATCCCTGCTTATACTGTTATTTTGAGAAGCGGACAGTAAAAATCAATGTAATGCATCTTTAATACTGATACATTACTGTAAAGCAGTACCTTCACCAAGAAATTTGGCAGCCTCTGTACTTCTTCTTGCATTGTGTGCCACCAGAATCAGAGACTATTCGGGGTGTCTGTTGCATTGCTCTGTGACATAAAGCAAAAACATTGCAAGTGTAGGTGTAGTGTTATGGGACAACAGGGAAACATTTTACTTCTAATAATTAATTGAGATCATTTGTTCCACTTAGTTAACTCGTATCACGTGTCCAACAGCCTTTCCAACTACATCTACTCTCTTCTTGAGTCAGTCATTAGTCATGTTGTATTGTGACCCTTTCTGAGTTTGTGAGATGTTACACAGCTAATAATGACCACCTTGATAATGTGTGAGTAATAAACAATATGTGCAGGTCTTTATAAAACTTGTCATCCTTAGGATTTCAGTCTTAGTTGATTTGAGAACGACAGTGGTCACAATGGGAACAGCAAGTGAGTTTTAATACCATGGCAAATTGGAAACTGGTGTGTGTGGGTACAATGCAGCCAGAAAAGTTGTCGGTCAGTAATTGTAGCTGTGATCTGATTTAATGCTGCACACAGCGCAAGTAGCTTCCCACAGGTCACAGTGAAAGTTAAGATCACCTTGCTGACGAGTTAGAGGTGTGCAATAAATGAAAAGTGATCTGCTGCTGAAAGTTGTTGCTCTTGCCATTGTCTTGCTTTGACCCATTTTTGATGATCGGTCATGGTGAGCGCTGTGGTAGATACACTGAGATACTTGGGACATTAAAAGCCACCCTATGTTTCACCAGTTAAATCCTGAAGCAGTGTCTGTAGAAAATCGTTTGGTTTGCATTTATAGTAACTTAATACAGCTCTGATGCAGATGAACTAAAATTAAAAACTGGAATGGTGGATCGCATTTGTGCATCATCCTGTGAATCCCTGGTGTGTGTGTAACGGCATGACGGACTCTAACAATAAAAACTAATATGTAGAGAGATTATTACAAAGAATAAATATACTGATTATTGCTGAAAAATGCTGACCGGACGTCATGAAAATCCTTTAAATAACTTTAAAAAGAACAAATAATAGACTTTACAACGTAAGCATTTTTCCTTTTAAACATAAATCAGAAAAGCATCTGAATGCGGCTAAAGTCATCAGTGAGGTTCCTTTTTAAAGGTTACAACACAAACCCATGAGATACCTTTGATTATGTCCACCTAAGAGATGGCAGAATCTCATTTTTTAAAATAATAAACTGAATGAAACAGTTTCAAAAAGAGTGAAAAACAATGAACATCTTTGTGCAGATTTCAATTACATATGTGACAGGTTTTGCTGAGTGAACCAAAAACTCAAACTGATGTTTGATGAGTTGACCCCGGCTGTGCTCAAACTTAAATGACTCATTTTACAGAATGTCAGCACCATTCTCCTGATGTGTCTCTTTGGGACTTGATATAATAATGCAAGTCAATAAAGGGGTAAGATGTTTTACCGTCCTTACATTTAACATCACAAATGGTTGGGCAGGCAGCACCATTAGTCTCAGAATGTAGTTTTAATGATTGATTTTTAGGTGTCAATATTTTATGCAGTTAAAGTTCATAATCAATTTATAAAAAGGCAGCACACAATAATTAACAAATATACATTTAAAACCACTTTATCTATCGGCCACTCTGTTTATTGTAACATGCACTTTAGTGTTTTTATTAGTGGTCACAGCACAGTAGCAAACAGTGCTACTTTTACCAGCTACTTCAGAGTGCAGAACATGCTGCGCTTGTGTCGAGAATACTGAGAGGAGTAACACGGACCTTGCTAGCAGCGACATTAAGAAGGCAATGCATTGTTGAACCAAAGGAAACAGTGCAGTCAGCTTGAGGCAAGTAACAGTGCTAGTGGTGTTAGCAAGACGTGATGGAAGTGGCAAAGAGAGGTTAGGCACTTTGTTGAGTCTTACTAGATCTTCTTAGCTGAAAAGACATTAGGTATAGTAGCTTGAAATATCAATCAAAATGGCAGCTTCCAATAATCGAAAAAACGTATCACTTGCTGTCAACAAGTGCCCTTATAGTCGTGCAACTCCCCTCTCTCAATGTGGTAACTCACCAACGTCCACCTTCTCCTTTCTCTCAATGTGGTAACTCACCAACGTCCTCCTTCTCCTGGATTTTCCTGTAGAGCGTGGTGTGTGGACATGGCACGCGCTACAGAAACCTGTCCTGCTTCGTCTCAGACGGCTCCAGTGACGGTGAGGGCGGTCTGGTAGATGAGGAGCTGTGCAGCAGCCTGGAGCTGGCCGTTGATGGAGACAAGCAGATCAGTCTGAGAGAGGCCTGTATCCTTCCATGCCCAGGTAATAATGCTGTTCAAATATGGTTATTTATGGTTAAGTTCTTGAACTACATGGGAAACTGTGCAAAGTAATGTAAATGAGATGAGAGGTGATTCAGTTTGTACTGAGTCTAGATACACAGAACAATACAAAAATAATACAGAGAATTTTGTAATGCTACAATTCACTGTGATGTCCCAGAACAATACATCCTCTGCTGCACCAACAGCCAGTCCCCAAAGAGGAGGACATTTGAAATACAGCTGACTGGATAGTGTTACCTGAGTTCCTGGTTCAGTGTCATCCCTCTGAATTTGGTATTTTTAGCAAATGGCGAGGCTCCAGTTGGTTTTGGGTGATACAACACTGCCCTCACCATTACCATAGAGACTGTGGCTAAAGGTGAATTCCAGTGTCCTTATTTTATTGTTCTTTGGTCCTCCATCCTCGCTCAACCCGGAAGTCATTCGGTCTGCCATGATGAACGTCCCAAAGCTCTTGTTTCGGCTCTGAGGAGAGAGTAGGCTGCCTGGAGGAGCTATAACCAAGGACACACCAGTGTATGCTTCGTGGAAGTCTGTTACAGATTGACACACCCATTTATCGGAAATCACCTTGTAATTGAACGCTCCACGTGGAGGCTTGAGGAAAGGACGTCGCATGTCAGTTAAAACATGTTTCCTCGGTTCCTCTCTCCTCACAGTTTCTCCTTGAATGTTTTCCATGCATCATATGTGGGCAAGACTAAGACACAAGGAAAAGACACAAGTGAGGGAAACATGGATGCAAATAGGGGAATTGGGATTCACCTTAAGAGAACACATAACTGAACGAAGTCCAGTGGAGTCATGGACATCTCAGACTCAGACTCAGATTTCTAACTATCAGAGCAATAGTAGAGCTCTAAACAAAGTGAAGTAATCCATTACATCTGTGGAAGTCACTGTAATACATAACACAGTAGACACTTAAAACCTTTTATTATAGGGTTGGGTTTTTTTTAATTTTTATTATTATTTTAAATCTCTAATCAACCACTCAGTATCTATTCTGGACCTCTAAAAGGATCAGAGGTACCTGAAGGCAGAGTAAATGGACTACATTATAGCGTATGCTTTGTAGTTCATTGCCTGTAGCAACTCTCCTCTACTCTCCTCTGCCAGCGTAGTAATGTTCCACTGTAGTGTACTTGCAGATTTGCGTCTCATATTTTGGTCTTGTCAGTCCTAGTTTTTCATGTTCTCTCGATCTGTCCCCAGTTCTTACCAAAAAGCAGCTGAGCTGCAAGTCAGCAGCCACTTATTTTCACCTCACAGTGAGAAGCCTCATTAAGAGTGTAAAACACACTGAGGTTTTCATCTGTGCAGCAGTCAAACCATGATCCCTCACAGGCCTCCCACCAGTGAGCACTGTTAGTTGTTTGTTGAAGGGCCCGACTGCGCCAGAGGCACTGTTGTCAGAAAGTATTTTCTCTTTTCTGTGGAACAAACACACTATTTGGACCACCTGCTCTTTCAGTGAATAGACTGGGAGGAGAATCCAAATGAAAGCTGTGGCCTCGACAATTCAGCTTATTCCATTTGTACAGTGAAGAAACACAGAAACAAAGTGATTAGAACACATACAGATGGAGATAAAATAACACAGAAGAAGGGTGCAGTCAATAATCTGTGTGGGCAGGAGTAGATGCCTAACAAAACGACAAGGTGGCAAGCTGAGATTCAGCCTCACCAAGCAACACTCTGCTGTGCTGTAAATGACAAAGTGCAGATTTTATGCGTTTAATCACGGTATGTATGAATGGAGATGCTGATTAAGAGGAGAACAGACTGAAAAAGTATTTATATTTCAGTGTTGATTAATGCTTGGTTTAATCACTGTAAGGTGATAAACAATGACACATTTCATACACATATTAGCATTAAATAAGGAATTCAGCTTAATACACTATAAGCACCAAAGAGGAGGTGGAGGTCGGGGGTAGAAGCAAATTTTAAGTGGAAGAAAGTTCAAGATTTAAGTGTCAAAGCCACTGGAAGGTCTGAACTTAAAAAAAAAATAAGTTGGCATTAATTCGTGTTAATGACTGTCTCTGACTGACTTTTTACTGTTCCCCCCTCAGTGGTATTAAAATGAGAATTAATTCTACTAGAGTCTTAAATATCCACTTGATAGTTACCTCAAAGACAGAGGCATTAGCAGGTCCCAGGCAAACAGTCAGTATCCTCACTAGCTGAAGATCTGTGTAGACTTTGTTCCTGTACTGTATGTTAAGAAATGTGTGAGGAGTTGTATTTTGTGCTAACTCTGCTTGGCTGCTTAGCTTACCAACATTTTTGTATTTTTAAAAGCATGTTTTCACTTTATACATTGCAAGAGAGAAGGATTTTAGGGTGATGACTAACCAAGGCGTCTGGAAAATGTAGTGGTGCCTGTAGGATTATATTTTATAGTATGCACAAGATCTGCCTAAGAGATTGATCTTATACTAATACAAGTTGGAAATTAGTATTAATACAAAGAGACCACGTCCACTGAATATTTCATTTGATTTGCTGCCATCCTGAGAAAAATAATTGTGAAGTATTTCATTATAACGAGAAACCTTTCTCATTTTGATGAGATAAAACATGATATCGTTCTCATTATTAGGACAAACTGTGTTTTCTTGTTGTGGCATATTGTATATTGACATTATAATGTGAGCCTTGCACAGCCTGGACTGAGTGACAGCAGCACACGCACCGACTTTGAGCAGTACCTCCATAGCTCATTCAGTTCAGCAGCTTCTCTCTCACACAATCACCAGCGCTGTGCCTAGGAGGTGCGCTCTCCAGCCGGTCCTCAAGAGTCACTGATCTGGTACTTAAATCCATGCACAATAATTAGCTGACAAAATGAACACATGCATCCCATGAGCCATGATAAATAAAAAATACCCTGCACATGTCCTGATGATGTTTGAGACATTGACAGCAGGTAAAGCCATTGCGTGTGCTGCTGTCACTCACTCCAACAAGGCTCGGGTTAGGGAGTAGAAATGATATAATCCACTCTAGGGCTGCGTGATATCATATTAGATTAGACACACACTCACGCACACAATATGTTGATCCTGCAATGATTGCTAGACGTAAAAATTGAGCAAATCAGGTAAAACATGCGTACAGGATTATGGTAGCCGACGCAGCTGTGCAAATGTAATGTTTTGTTGTGTAACATTGGCTGCAGCACTGGAGTGTAATAAGCAGGACAGAGGCTCTAGTGTTACCATAAACCTGATGGCATCCAGGATCTGCTTTCACACTGTGTAAGTTGATGTGCTTGTCATGAACGGGGACTTTTTAATAGGCTACAACCTGTAACCCCACAGTCTAATGTACTTAGATAATGATAGATTATTAGATATAACTGTGTGCTGTCACTTAGAGACACCAGTACCCCGGCAAATAAATGTGGGTGTAGAGCCCTACCCTCATTTTAATAACTTGTTCTCTCAATTACTTTCCTGGTGTTGAGCTATGCTAGTGTCTTAAGGTGACTCTAAGGAGCCTGGTTGCCATGCACGGCTTATTTACTTTGGTTTTTGGTGAGAAAAATCTTTGTTTGGACCCGGCCATGTTGTACCTCTGTGATTGTAGTGTATGTTAAATCCATTCCACTTTTGCTGTTGTGTTTTTGGGGTTTGGAAAGGTGATTTTAAAAACGACATCACACTTTTTAGTTAGTAACATTTCAACATCTGGAAATATCCAAAGCTTGTCTGACCTGTGTCAGGTTGTGGCTGCTAAAAGGTGATTGGACAGCCACTGTTCTTGAGCGTGATTTAGCAAGTAGTAAATTAACTGTACCTCTAAGCTGTACATAGCTGTGTGTTTGTACCTGAACTTTTAAGCCCTGTGTGAACAAGACTGGAGCCCATTTCCATTTGGTGGATGCTTTCACCCACAGCTTGTTAGTGCGCCATGTGTGCAGACATTTTCAGCATGGGTAGCCCCAGTCAGTAGCGTCCCCTCCAACCTGGCAGAGGTAGCTCACGGTCGACATGCGCAGCATGACCTTTTTTTACTTCAGTGAGTGATTAGGTCTCGGCACAGTCTTTATGCTGAGCTGGACATCTGTTGTGATTTAAACGATACGTGACCATACAAAGCAAAATCTGTTTAAGTATTTTACAGTACAGACGTTTGATTTAATTACTCTAAGCCCTTATGTGCTTAAGTAACCAAGCTGTCTGGTAGTTTTAGAGTCTAATGTAATACCATTCTCTTCACATAAGATAAAAAGAACCTTGAAATCAGAAGTGTGTCAGGCTTTCTCTTCAGTCGACTGCCAGGCAGCATCTCCCTCCTACTCTGCCTTCAGTCATCGCTCTTCTCACTCAGGAGACCAGCAGGCTTACTGCTTGTTTGTGTACAGCCTCCTGGTTTTACCGTCCCAATCCATAACATTTTCATAAGACATTTTTGCTGCTCTGGCACTGATTAATATAAAACAGCAGTGATTCAACAGAATATAAATTGTTTATTTACCTCAGCTGGATAGATAATTGGGATTAAAATCTAGACTTCTCATACTCTTATGGCAATATTTTATCATAGTAAGACATCTTGCTGTTTGTTCATCTGATCTGTTGATGGTACAGTATTTGTGTTGATGAAAAATCAGCTCTTACATGTTTACATTTTGTCTTGGTAAATTCAGAATAATGGAATTACTGCTGTGGAAATATATCACTACAGCCAGAAAGCAATATTTGTAGTTTCGTGATATCCGGGTTCGAGCCAGGATCGACCCAGGGCCTTTCTGTGTGGAGTCTGCATGTTCTCCCTGTGCCTGTGTGTGTGTTCTCTGTGGCTACTCCGGTGTCTTCCCACAGTCCAAGGACATACATCTTAGGTTGATTGGTGATTCTAAATTTGAGTGTGGGTGTGTGTGGTTGTTTGTCTACATGTCAATCGTGTGATAGACTGGCAACCTGTCCAGCAAACTAGAAGCAAAATTAATGATTTAAAAACAGTATTTATGTTAGAAAGAGAAACTTAAAGCAGCAAATTGAATATAATATGACTATACTGCTGGAATCAGTGCTGAATCTATGAAGACGACATGTAAACATGAAAGAGGAAGTGTTTGCTTCACAGTAGTGGTATCTTTCAGTGTAATTTACCTGCCTTTAGTAGCCTTTACTTAATAGCCAGTTGACATAACAGTATTAAAGTAAGAGATACAACAATTTTTATGCTAACATTTTCTGTCCTATTTTCTCCCAGATATTTGGTAAAAAATGTTTGCAGGCTGGATATATCCATAAATTCTAATCAATTGGGGTGAGAGCACTGCTTTAGGGTATACACAGCTCAGGAAACTTTTGTAGATTGTTGTTTTAAAAGTCAGTGCGGGGTGTCACAGGTCTAGACAGTGATGGATTCTTTTCAGCAGCACTAACAGCATGTTCTTGAAAATAAGTATATTTAGCAGCAGCATTATTTTTGTGGCTTCATCGATACAAAATGTAAGGTGAAAGATGCCCATAGTAGCTTGTTGACCATACTTTGACAGGTGATTTCTCAGCACCGCAGCACAAGAACAGCATATTATCAGCTTAGCACCAAGGATGTCAACCCCCACTGGAAAAAAAAAAGTCTCACAGACGGGATTATCACTTCAGAAGTTGGAACCTGTGAGTTGTTGTCACGGTTTTGTGGCAGAGGCTTGTCAGCTGATGTAGCTTTACGGTGAGGAGCAGACAGGTGAGCTCTGCACAACAGCTGCTGGACTCCGTCAGGGCTGCAGCTCCAGTGCTTTACCGCCACTGCCACTCTGGCAACAACACTGTCCATACTGTGAAGCACCCTCGGTGTTGTGCTGCACATAGGAGTCCTTCCTTTGGCTAAATATGGGACATTTCTGTACAACATTTCTGTAAGAAAAGTTGGGAAACTAATCCCCAAATTTTACTGCATGATTCAGCCTGATAACAAGAGTGTGTTTTCACAGTGTCAGTGGAACTATTTTCGGTGTCAGTGGTCCCTGAAGGGGGAATTATTGTTCCTCGTGTCTGTCAAAATGCAAATGTGCAGTTCAGTTCCAAAGTGTTTCTCATCTATTCTGCTTCGTTGTTGATTGTTCATCATTTAAAATCTCCATTAAAGAGGAGGAAAAATGTTAGCCTTTTTTCAACCCTCTGCTGGTTTAAAGGTTTGAATTCATGTTATATTTTAAGTGTCAGGCATGTTTCCACTGGCCAATTTCTTATTTTGGAGGAGAAATTCATCAGATGTCTGCTGGTCCCTGAGATGGAAAACACTGGGAAACGTTGACCCAGATAACAAGTCAGTCCAGCGTCTTTTGCCAAGCTGCAGGAGCACCGAAGTATCAAACACCAATCAAAAGTGCAGACTACTTCCTGTGCAGGGAGTAGGGGAGTGTGATTTGGGAGGAAGTGCAAGAGGTGTTTGTGCTGGACCGGCGACAGCCTGGGAATTCTGGCAGGCTGCATCCACACATATGCGCGCACAAACACTTTCATGCACTGGCACCCTTGACCTGTGATCCATTTCCCCTGCTGTGTGATGAGCTGCAACTGTCAACTGTGATCAAAACCAACCCGTCCTGCATCTCAAACTTCCACCTTCCAACCCCTGAAACTCTTCAAAGCATCGAGCCATCAGATGATACCATATGTAAATACATATTCTGTTGGCATCTCTGCTGCCCATCTCATCCAGATGAAACTGTTCATAGATCAGTAGGTAAAACATGGCTTCAGTACCACCAGGGACACCCACACTAATACAATGCAGTGCAAATATGTTTGCATAGTGAAATCTTTTCTTTAACAGTCAAATAAAACCATGAAGACGAGCTTAACGATGCAAATAGAGTAAAGTGAAAATTAAGTCAATCTGGTAAATCTAGATGTGAATTATGCAATTTTACTGATCCTGTCTGCTAGAGCTCCTGGTCACTGTTTAGCCTTAAACTCCGGAAGTGCCAGAGGAGCTGAGGCCGCACACAACCTACAGGAAATGAAAAGGTTTGCGACATGGCTGTAGGACAGACCTAGCAACTATTTAGGATAAGGATAATCACCTTTATTGGCCAAGTATGTTACACACAAGGAATTTGTTTCTCGTACAGAACCGATGGCAGCCATCTGCGGCACAAACTCAATCGATGGCTCTAACCATCGGGGGCAACGGGGGGGTTCAGTGTCTTGCCCAAGGACACATCAACACGTGGACTGCTGGCACCGAGATTCAAACCTTGAACCTTCTGATTTGGAGACGACTGCTCTACCCATTATGTCAGAGATTTCAGACTGAACTGGTGAAGAGATGCCAGAGTGCTGTAGCTTAGTTTGTAAGGTTTTATGTCTAGTTTTCTTACATTACCCTGAATATGTGTAGTTGTTGTACCACTAACAGATTGTCTACCCAGTTACACAGCTGACTTTGTGATTTAGACTTTTCAGGGTTAAAACTGAGCTTTGCTGCTGTGGCTCTTCATTTCTTCATTTTTTGTCCATTTAAACATATTTGTGCATTTTCATCAGTGTTAGGTGGCAGGTTTTGTTTCATCTATTTTTGTTCATCAATATAAAATTGATAGACCTGAGAATTATGATTGTTCAAAAGTTTTGATTTTTTAAATTATAAAACATCTCAGAGATCTAAAATGTTGTTAAAAACAAAACTGGACATTATCCAACTTGTGTATATCCAGTTTTCTCAAAAAAAAAAAAAAAAAAAAAAAAATCTTACCATCCTGAATCCCATTAGGACAGATTAACATTACAAGGGCAGGTGAGGAATAAAATATTCACATGCCCCTCTGTAATTTAACTCCTTGTTCAGGACAGGATTTTAATCATTGGGGAAATTACAGGGCATGACATGGGCATTCAACTGGACAAAAGAGAGAGACAAGGGATGCTTCAGAAGAGGTGTGAGGTGAAACAGAGTCAAAGCATGGTCAAGTCTTAATATATATACTGATATCATTCAGTGACCATACATGGATATCACTGGCTCGGATGTCCATTATAAATAAATGTCCATACATCTGCTTAGAAATTAGAAAAAAATAGCTTCACAACTTGCCTGAAAGTCACCTCAAGTTTTCTTCAGTGTCCAAGTGATGGTTACATTCATGGGTACACTGCACACAGGAACTCCTAACAGCTAATTCATCTGTGTAATTTTAATTCTACCAGTTTGCCAAAATGCAACCAAACCAGTGCGTTCTCAGAAGACCAGTAGATAAATAGTGTAGTGTATGTCTACAGCCTGGGCAGTAGAGCTACACACTAGGGCTCAGAGGATGTGTTTAAAAGATGCATGCAACAGTCAGGTTTACATAAAGTGCACATGCTTATAGAGCTTTTTAAGCTAAGTATGCAGAGATCTTTCATGCATGGCAGTAACTTTTTTATAGCAATATCTGTGCAAATCTAGACTCTTAAGGCATACTGAGCTCTTAACACCAGATCCAGCTGTCAAGGGCGTCACACACCGGCAACGAACTGACATGCATCAACGCAGATTGACACACGACAGGCAACGAACTGACATGCATCAACGCAGGTTGACACAGAGTAAAATACTTAAGTACTCACCATTTCAATAGTCTCGCACTGAATTTTGCTGCTCCTGGTGTGTGTTATGGGAGTCATGTGACACGTGTCACATGACGAGCCACGATGCCTATTGTGTGCGGTGCCCTTCAGTCTGCTGACATTGCTTAAGATTGCGGGTTGGAGGAAATATGATGTATGAAGGAGAAAACAGAGGAAAGGATGTATAATTACTCTAACAGGTGTACTAATGTTATTCTACTAGCATCATGATGAGCACAATGACCAGCATCTCTTCTAGCACCGTGTAACCTAAAATTAAATGTAATAGTTGCCCATTAAACTTTTCACTTTGCCTTTATTAAAAACTTTAACACATTCTCTCATTTTACAGTGTAGGCTAACATCTGCATTTACACATACACTGCACATTAAATGACTTGTAAAAACAATGTATAGAGACAGTAATAATTCAATGCTGCTGATTTAGCATATGCACTATTTCCAATAGCAGAGAAAACAACTTTCAATGCTCCATGCAATGTTTTACAGCTCATACGGCAGACAAACATTACATACCTCGTTCTGCTAATCTAGTAAAACCAGCGAAACCTCACAGATGTGGGTATTTCATGCACAGCTCTGGCAGCTTGATTGACCCATGCTGTGAGCTAACCTTCCACATCTCCACTAGAGGAATAAATCCAGTTTGAATGGGGCTCCAGTGATGGATCTTTTCTCTCCACCCCTGCAGGTGAATGCTACCTGATGGAGTGGTCTGACTGGAGCTCATGTGTCAGCATCTGCGTCAAAGGGGCTGGTGTTGACTTTGGCTCGGTTCAGGTTCGCTCCAGAGCCGTGTTGGCCCAGGAACCTGAAAACCTGCAGCTGTGTCCAGACCAAGAGTGGGAATCTCAGCCCTGCAGCGGTGAGTGACAACTTTCTCAGCACCTAACAATTTGAGAAAGTTTGAACAGAAGCAAAGTGAACTTTTATTGCACGACAATTAGCTGGGAGCACCAGTCTTGGGTTAATTTATTTAATTTCTTAACCAAAGTTATTTCTAGTGTGCATGATCACAGAGAGTTGAAGTCAGTCTCAGGCAGGGTGGAAGATGAGAAAATACGATGGAAAACTTGGCAGTGCATCAGAGTGCGCTAGCAGAGTAAGACAAACTCAGGGTCATACCTGCAGGCTGTTCAGTCACCTATCCATCTGAACATGCATGATTTACTGTAAGGGGAAAATGGAACACCAGAAGAAACCCGCAGAGAGACTGAGTTTGAAACAGCAGTCAGATGAAGATTTTTCTTGCAGTGAACTGACAGTGTTGGCCACTGAGCCACAACATGCTACTATCACTTTGTTTTCCCCTCTGCACACTGGGTTAATTGGCGCTCTCCCAGACAGGATTTCTCGAGTCAGATCTCCATGCGGAGGAAACCTCCACACTCATTTACTGTTGTGACCTCTGAGGCTCCCCAGGTGCATTAATCACCCATTAGGTGCAGTGTGGGGTTCTGAATCATCAGCATACAGTAGCCATAGCCTCAGTCTGTAGAGCAGCCACCCCTACCGATCCCCTCCTCCCACCCTGGCTGCTGTACACAGCCCCACAGTGGTTTTTAGCAGCCTGACCTGGTTTCACAGCATCACTCAAGGCCCAGGGTGGAGTGTCCCAGCCAAAACCAGTGAAAGCGGAGGAGGAGGAGAGCGGAGGCAGGGGACTGAGGGAGGGGGCGGTTTGATGTGAGGCTTGCTCGAGAAAAACAAAACCAAAGCTGTGTCCCTGTTGCACATTTTCTTATATACAAATTCTCACTGTGCTTTGTGTCTACACTATATTCATGATAACATTAAAAAAAAGCAGCAGCACTATTGTACTTCAGTGCAACAGTAAAGAAAGCAACAAAGGAGCTGCTCACAGCCAGAAGAAATCATAAATGTAGATGTTTCCCAGATGCGTCAGTGGAATAAAATTAAACCCTTGATGATACATCCTTCTTGATTTTTTTTTTTTTGTTGTTGTTGTTTGACATTGGCAGAAGTTTAAAGTTGCACTAATCTGTGTTGGTTGAAACCATGGCAGAGAGTGTGAATACTGGACAAACATAATGTAGCCAGAAACACAACTCAGAAAATGATAATGCTGCCAGAACAGCTAAATAAAACCTAAAATTATAGGCTTGATATCAGTATAAAATATTGCTTTTAAGCTAACCACGAAAATGCAGCATTGTCAAGATGAGCATATAGCCTATATGTTGTGGTACATGGGTTTGATTTTTTTCAAACATTTCTTTCATGCAGAGGTTCTCAGTAAGTAGAAGTAGTTAATTTATGTAGCCATGCTAGCAGCTGTGCGCGGCTGCACTTAGACATGGTTGTGCTTTCAGAATATTAGTTGAGCTGCTAACATTTTCTTATTAGCAGTAAACACAGTAAAGTAAAGCTGAAGGTGTCAGTAGTTTAAGTATTTGGCCATAAACCAGAGTATGACATATTGTCAGCATTATGATGGTTCACCCTATGGAGGATATGAATGTCTATAGCAGATTAGTGTCAAACCATCCAATAGCTGTTGAGACAGTTCACTCAAAACCACAAATGCATACTGTATGTCCCATGTGGAAAAATCATTGGCATTGCCAGGATTCATTGTCTGGAAACCATGAATGTCTACAAATCTTTATTAATCCCTCTAGTTGAAGTTTTTCACTCAATAAGTGAAATTCCTGATTCTGAAAGGTATGGCCAGCATCTCGTACGGCACCTCCACCTCTGCTGCTGTGTGAATGTGGCACACTGCACATGGTTTTGGTATAAAAGCACTAAAGTGCAGCTCCTTTCTAACAGCGTGGTTATAATGAATCTTTTTCAATCAGTAGGCTAGAAAATCAGTTTTCTCCTCTCTCAGCGTTGCCAGTCGCTCTCGGTTATGTGTCAAACACCTGTGATTTTTTGGGGGGGCTACTGTATCTTCACCACTGACATTATTTCTGCTTCCAGAGTGACTTGTCCTCTGAGAAATGTTTCTATAGTAGTAAAACTTTAATCTGCTCATAAAAGATGGTGGGAAGTGCCAGTTGAAGTGAGTGATTCAGTGATAACTAAACACATTTGAAAAATGACTTAACTTGTACCACAGCAAGAAAAAGGGGGAAAAAATGAGAAAGGTGAAGAACAGTAAAGGATGAAGTTGTCTAAGCCACAGACAAATTGTCCGGTGAAAGCTGCAGATAGAGCAGTGCCATCGACTGGAGCAGAGATACTGTTCCCAGGCCTGTGGAGGATGGATCTTTCCTTTGTTCAAGGTTAAACTTTCCATTTATGCTAGCCGAATGGGCTGGTCTGATGACTGGTTACACAGGACTCCACAGGGAAATATGGTCATTTACTGCACTGATGGAGATATTGATAAAGTTGTAATAGCATTAATAGAAGGTCATTAAGCACAAGCTCTCAGTGAAGATTAAAACCCTGAAATGGACCCTTCTGTGAAGACACACTGATAGTGATATTATATGACAGCAGCTGGTTACACAACCATAATTTAGCAGCTGCTTTATTAATCCATCACTCATGATTAATGGTCTTCGCTGCAGACTCCCACTGTACACTCTTTACAGTTGTTTGGTTTTTGTTTTGCTCTCAGGGGGCGAATGTTACGAGTACAAATGGTTCAGCGGTGTTCGTCCAAACTCCACCCACCTGTTCATCTGGTGTCAGCGCTCGGATGGACTCAACGTCACCGGTAAGGACCTCTGGCTTCTAATGCACCACAGTAGTTTTTTTTTTTTTGCTGTGACACTTCAGTTGTTAAGTCCATTAAATACAAGTGAACATTTTATTCCCCACACAAGTGGATCCCAACCTGATCCTACAGTGACTCAATTAACAAGATGGGAAAACAGAACAATCATATTTCTGCCACACAAAACTATGTTTATTGAACATTTCTCTAATTTTTGGCCTTTTTCTTCTGAATTTTCAGGTACCTAAAATATTAGGGCTCTGACTAATGATTTTTTATCAGTAATCAGTTATTGGTCAATGATGTATTCTTGAATAATCAGTTAATCCATTTGGTCTAAGTAGTAAAGACCATCACAACTTCCCACAGCTCAAATATATTCAAACTAATCTTTGTTTGACAACAGTACAGGTCCGTGATATTCAGTTTGATATCACAGAGGGCCAAAAAAAAAAAGGTTAACGTTTTAGAAGCTGGAACCACATAGCGTGTGGCATTTTTTGTCTTTAAGAAAATTTAAAATGTTTAACAGATAACTGATTAGTCAAATAAACCTTTCATAAAATCTGATAGCTCTTGCTTTGTTTTAAGGGATCACAGGCCAAAATATTTGGGAAACACTGCCTTCCAGTGCTTTGGCTTGGTGATAATACACTTTGTTAAACTGGCTGCAGCAGCATTGGACCACAGGTTTTTATGTAAGAAGGAAAATCAACAAAAAAAATATCAGAAATGTCACTGACTGTTCAGAAAAACTAGGGATTTAGTTCTATAAGGCGGTGAGCGTTTCGTCTGTGCATAACACATGAACAAAAAACCTGCAATTGTAAAAAAAAAAAAAAAAAAAAAAAACACACAACCATATTGACTTAGATATTTTTATTGCAAAACTGGATGAATGTACAGGCTGTGTAATAAAACTCACTGGAAACATTTTTCTATATGAAATTGTTTTAGAGAAAACACAGTAATGACCAGCAACAGAAAGCAGTGGATCCAACATGACATTGTATTCCTTTAAGAACAATCTGTTTGATCGTGTTGTGTCTTTACCTGCAGGAGGTTGTCCTCCAGTAAACCCTCCAATTGACAACAGCTCCTGTGACCCTCCCTGTCTCATGCCAAAGTCTTTCTGCAGCGAGGTAGGCTGCTCTTGTTTCTCATCGCACCCATTTAACCACAAACAAAAAGAAAAGGGATCATCTTGAATGGAAAAAAATTGGTTTGGAGACAAAAATCCAAAATAGAAACTTAGTAAATGGAATTAAAAAAAACCAATAGAGACAAAGGTAAAAGCACAGATCCTCTGTACTCACTGTGACACACTGCTGCCAGAAGTGAATCTGAATGCAGCACACAGTGAAACGATGCAGCTTGAGAAAGCTTTTTTCTAAAGCATCACTCAGCTGTACTGCATTGGGAGTTTTTGTCCAGTAGCTGGTAAATTTCATAGTTTAAACATTTAAATTGTTTGTATATTCTATAAAAACAGTATTTAAAAAGAAAATGTTTTCTGCTTCCTAATAGAAATGTGCTAATTTTTTGCGTATTTTGAGGTGTTCAAGTCAAATATGACCTTTGAAAGAGCTGATTGGCTGTAGGTTGGTAAATCGGTGAAGTAAAGATGATGACGCCTTTTGAGTTCAGAGAGAGATTCAGGGAGAAGACAGGCTGACATAAACACAGAGCTTAATGTCCTGAGCTGAGGTAGGAACATAATAAGCACCTTAGTTAACTGTAAAAGTGTGTGGCGTGTGTTGCCTGAGACATAACACTAGCCTAATGTTTCACCTCAGAAGCTTGTTTTGTCAGAGTGTTTATTTTCTGGTTTTGCACAGATATTTTCTTCTGTAATTTGACAAAGTTTGGTCATTTTCAAGCAGGTTTCACATATTGCCAGTGTCATATCTTACAAACCAGAGCCAGTCAGCCGATTTTGGTTTCAGTGGTTCAGAACTAACAGACTTCTTATTTTTGTTTCAGGATTGTTTTGCTTGTAGACTAGTGTTATCGGCTGTAGAGGCTGCTAGAGCTGACAGATGTTATAACTACAGAACAGACAGTTGAGAAGTGGGTTCACTGGTTCAGTCTCCAGACCTGCATGACAAAGCTGCACTCAGACCAGTTTAAAACTCATGCAGTCTAATCCAACAGTGCTGCAATTCATCCTGCTTCATGAAGGTCATAATGTTCAGATTGTGGATTTTTTTTTGTTGTTGTCCACCCCATTTATATCAATGAGGCTAGGCTAAACAACAGAAATGGCTCTCTGTTTAACAGTCCAGTTCATTAGCAGCACAAACCACCGGCTCCAGAATGATCATACAGTTGAAACAACACCTTTCTGAAACGTTGTGAACACAGACTGAACATTATCATCCTCTAATCCTACCTTCCAGGGTCGAACTGTTGTCTTGACTGCACAGGTTTTAGCTTGGTGTGCCAAATAGCCTGGCTAGTGCGTGGATGCTGGGAAGTCCATTAGCAGCACTCACCCTTCCTGCATTACCACTCTTAAAATGCCCTTGAACGAGGCACATGACAAGTACAGGGGAGATTTCATGTGAATGTATGTAACTTTGTATTTGTGGTCAGCCATCCCATCCTGGATAAATAAAAGTCATAAAATGAATACAGCACTGTCTGGTTTTGCAGATGAATTGGAAACGTGTATTAGCTGAAACACAGGATGTGGGAATGAGGCCAACGGGTCACAAGCATGGTGTGAAATGGTTTTCCTTTTTCTGGAAGCTGACGCTTTTATCTCGATTGAATGGATAAGACAGAAACATGTCAGCGCTCACAGCAGCTGAGGGCATCGAGCAATAACGGCCCCCCAGCACATTCATTCCCCTCTGTTCTGCACGACACTGCCGTGGCGCTCTGTACTGTAGCTGCGGCCCTGACTAAAAATGGTTGTGTGCTGCTCCCTGCAGGCTGCTGTTTGCATGTGCGAGGACGGATTCACAGAGGTGTTGTCACCTGCTGGGCAGCTGGACCAGTGTGCTCCCATCCCAGTCCTGGAGATCCCTACGGCGGGGGACAAGAAGGGGGATGTGAAGACCAGCCGTGCCACCAACCCCACCCAGCCCACTACCATTCAGCCCGGACGTCCCGGGCGAACCTGGTACCTGCAGCCCTATGGACCAGGTCAGACCACATCACACACCGTTTATCATTACTTCAAATCCACATTTATTTCCACCAAAATAGCTTCTTCTCACTGTGTTCACAAAAAGTAAAAAGACACCTCCTGTTGTAAAAAACAGTTGAAAAAGCGTTTTGTTGCTGTCGAGTGAAAACCTTTAATCTCTTTTATCTGTCATGTTTTGGGGAACTAACCTGGCCTTAATGTGCTCTTCAGAGGCTGCTGGTTTCCCGTTGTCAATCATAAATCCAGCACATGAAAATGAGTCAGAAATGTGGAGGACGTCATACAGATACGGGCTGTTTATATTTTTGGAAATCTTACTCTGATAGTATTTTTATTCTTTTTTTTAAAGAGCAAAAATTAGAAATAAAACACCACCAGCAAGTGATGACTCTAAACAGGGCTTTTATTGACAACAAAAACATAATTACCTGTAGACAAACAAACACCACACATTATTTCCAAAATTCCCACTTGCAACATGTTTATCTTAAAGCTTTAAATCAGGGACTTGTATTTAAACTATTTCCATGTGCACTACTGGATAGAAAAACCGCCTCCGTGTATGAGCCAGTCTTTCCAAGTTTATCTGAAGTGAAAGGGTTTTAGCAAACCCAGCGTTTGTAGAATTTTGTCAGCCTGCAGAGCACCATGTAATCCTTGAAGTGAGTCATAAAGCTGAGAGGTTTTCACATGACAACAGCAGAAGGAACTTTACTTCAATTTGTATTTAGATTTAGTGTCGACAGATTCTGATTAACATTTAGTCTAACATCTACTTGCAGCTGTTCATGAGATAAAACCGACAGATTGCTTCAGACAGGTTTTCACAAATGCCTGTATGAACCTTTCCACTTACCCGTTTAACATTTGAGAACTGAGTGTTGGGACTGACGGTGCATGACGGTAAAGGAAACATTCAGAGCACTTTGTCCTGTTGCTCTTCATCACAGGAAGCTCTAAAACGTGTTTTGCATTTGAGAAAGAGAACAGTAACAGCTCTATTACAGCCCACAGTGCAGTGTTGTTGGATGAATCTGATACCAATACAATGATGTTCCTGCTAACGGCTGAACTGTAGGCACAGTGGAAGGAAAAAGACTATGGGGAATGGGAACAAAATCCCATTTGTCCTGTGTTGCCCAGATGTTTTCATAAAACTGTAGTTGTCATAGAGGGGAGCCCTGAGCAGCGTCATGGTTCCCAGTCACTGTGAAGCGAGTCTCCCTTTCCTGCCAAATGCCCATTTGTTGCTCCCTTGTTCCCCATGGTTTTCTTCCACTGTGTGTATGTTTAATACCGACTGAGACTTGATTCATACAAAGAAATTGCACCGTAAATCGTGGGCTTTATTATTATGAAGCGGTAGTGAAAAAGAAGTAGCAATTACTGTTTGCTGAAGCTCTCACAGACTTAATTGTTGCAGCTTTGAATGGCTGTTGGCGCCGTGTTGAAGTGTAAACAGACAAACTGACGAGCCTCCTCCTCCACAGATGGGAAGCTGAAGATGTGGGTGTACGGTGTAGCAGCCGGAGCCTTGGTGCTCCTCATATTCATAGTGTCTATGATATACCTAGCTTGGTGAGTTGACAAGTTTAATCCCGCCTGTTGATCATCATCCTCATTCATGAAACCAAACGCTCCTCATTTCCCCCTCCTGTTCTGAGTTGGCCCATCCCCTCCCTCACATCACAGTTTTTTTCTTTTTGCCTCCTCCATGCCATCCTGTTGTGAGAGTAGCAGCTACTGTGCCAAGGTGCATCGCTCTCTTAAAGCCCAAGAGGCTGATGCCAATGGGACGGCAGTCTGGATGGGCCAAAATGCTCATGAGATGACTTACACCTGTCCCGACTGCCAAAAGCTGGCTCAAAGCAGTGGCGGCTAATGAGGATGTGCAGGGTTCCCCCCCGACACATCCCACACTCCCTGACCCTTCCCTGTGACAGTGTCGCATGTCCTGCCTGACTAGCCGCATGAAGGTGCTGGTGCAGGTGAGAACAAACCACCCAGTCATATTTTTCTAGGCCCTGTAGACTTTTTTTAAGAGCCTATAGAAACATAGATGATGCCTCCATGTTCATTTTGGGCAAAAGGTCTTTACCTCCTGTTTATACCTACTTTTAAAGTGACCTATATGTGATTTAGTGCGTTTTGAAATCTTTTACTTAAAGCCGCTCTAGCTAAATTTCACATTCTAACTTTTCTAAAGTTAGTGAGTGATGTGGTACTTTTACAGTTTGAACAAGCTGAATGACAAGCAACATTTAAGGTGCATTTTAATGTTGTAGCTGGTGGAGGTTGAGAGTGTTAATGTTTTATACACTGAGCTGTTTAATCTCTGGTTATGCATTGTTTTTAAACTAAAGTTTAAATAAGTTAGTTTTGTGCATCAAATCTTAATCTGCAAACTGTCATAAATGTCGTAGAGTAAACAGTACAGATTCCCCTTTGAAATACAAATAAATAAGAGCATAGTTATTTAAAATGCAAGTATCACTCACTAACTTGAGAAAAGTTAGAATGTGAAATTTAGCTAGAGCGGCTTTAAGTAAAAGATTTCAAAACACACAAATCACATATGGATCACTTTTAAAAGTAGGTATAAACAGGAGGGAAAAACTCTGACAAAAAATTCTAATGATAAAAAGACCTTTTGCCCAAAATGAACAGAGATACTGAAGATAATCTTGCAGTTAATTTTTCTGGTAACACATTTTACACTAGATCTTATTTGTGCCACGTGTGAGTTAAAAGATCAGCAATTGGTCTCTTTTAAAACGAGATATAAACATGGTGAAATAGCTTCTTAGCATAGCGCATCTCTGTGAGGTCGAGCATCAGCCTGTAGAAAATTACAGTACTACAAACATGAGGATGTAGTGACAGTGTTGATCCAGATATTATTTGTACGTTCACTGTGCTGTTACATCCTCATGGATTTGCCAGTGTTTCATTGGGTTGATATAAATGGAATATAGATTTACTAAATTGGTTCTGTAACACTGACAGCAGTTGCATGATGAGATAAAGGAGAAATCATAATATTACTGCAGTATTTGTTTCTGTCCCACAAATCAAATTTGAATGTGCAGGCAGTGTGTCACCATGATCTCACACTGCCCCCTTGTGGCCAAAGAGCAAGTGTGGCTGTATTATTTCCCACCCATATCCTGTTCATGTTAAGAACTCATGATCCTTTTTATATGCAACATGTATTGATGTTTTTTCTCTGTATTCAGCTTTGAACAGACTATATACAACTGGACTGGACTGTAGGATGCCAATATATTAGATGATCAAACTGGTTTGAGACATTTTAAGTAAAATGCTGGTTCTAGCTTATCAGATCTCAGAATTTGCTGTGTTTCTTTTGACTTGTATAATATCGATTTCTGGGTGATGGATAAGGTGCATCTACAGTAATGTGTCACTTTAAAGGAAAAGGCTGGTCATTTTCTTTCAACAGTCCCCATACAGAGACTAAAACGACCATTGAATTGCCTCTACCCACTGTTTGTCAGTCCTGGATTAGTTTATTCTTCTGTGCCATAGATCTCTGTTGCCATTCAAAAACAAAAAGCCATCAGGAAAACAACACCACTGAACTGGATGACATGTTTATGAAACACCAGGCCCTAATATTTGTTAAAAAAAAAAAAAAAAACAAGATCTTGTACATTGTGCAGTTGCCTGTTGCTACTTCAGATGCTGTGAAAAGCCACAACTTCCAACATTTTAAAATATCTATATATTAGGCGCTTGTGTTTCATAATGGGGAAAGGTTTTTTTAACTGGTTTTAACAAAAACAGGTCTGTGGCACAGACAAACAAGCTAATCCAGGACTGACAGACATTAACCATGAGTAGAGGCAAGTCATTGTTGGTTTTAGCCTCTGTATGGGCGCTGCTTAAAATACTGTTAATATGTAAAATTACAGGCCTTATCCTTTAAACTCTGGGAAATTTTAAATGCATTTTAAACAAATTTCAAATTTTAGTCACCAAATAATTGTTTAATCATAAAAATGTGTAGATCTGTTATTCCAATCAGTATTTATGAACTTCTCCCACAGAGAAAAGACGAGTTTAGTTTTACCGTTTGTTTGAATGTTGGCTTCATGTTTACTCTTTAATAATTTTGTCAGCTCTTCATCAGAGAAAATTTCCGGTTGTCTCAATTCAGCATCTCAATTGTCCAGAGACCATTACACAACATCTCTGTTTGGGGAGAACATTTCAGGGAAAGATTAAAGGACCTGCTGTATTTCCCCTAAAACTGAGTATGATGACGCTGTAGCTACTGCTAATTTTGCTGTCACTGCTTCTGTTGTTGACATTCAGGGAAACAATAAGTTGCATTAAACAGCGTTATTAGGGCAATCGGTCAGCCTCTGACAGAGCTCGGAATTGCTTCAGTCGAATCATTTTTCATGCTTCTTTCTCAGTAGAAACAAAGTAAATGCCAGATTTGGACAGCCGTCTGAAATGGCCATTACAACTTCTTACTTTGACCACCTTGTCATCAGGTCAGTGGGCAAGTTGACCCAGATGTATATTCCTATGCAGTTAGCTGCAGTGACTGCCCCAGACTTCAACCACCCTGAATCTTGTTTGCTCCTTCTGGCTCAAAGTGTGAGAAATGATTTGACTGACATCATGTGGCTAACTGTTTAACCTGACTTTTTGTTTCCCCCAATCTCTACAACAGAGGCAGTGATGGCAAAATTACCGATTACAAAATACCCACTTTGAGAGGAAATACAACTGGTTCAAAAACAAAAAAAAAGATCCTTTAACTGGCCACCAGTGGCTGAAGATGTAGAGAGAAAAATGGAGTAACTATGATCTGACGATACAATAGAAAACACTATTTCTTATATTATACACCATACAGTACTATGAGAAATGAATCATTTAAAGGTGGTACTGATGCCTCAGAGACATACAGAGGTTCTGCTATAAAGATCCCACCCCCCTACTCCACCCCCGGAGGCAAAGTAGCAAATGTCTGGCATGCGCCGTTTGCATGCAGATTAACTAGCACTTAATACTTTAGATTTAGTCCTATCTCCGTGCGTGTGAGGCCTGTCAACGAGCAGCATGTACCACCTCTGCCGTGATCATGCTGTGTACTTTTACATTTTACAGAAGTACCTGCCATCTTTGTTATTCTAGACTTCCTGTAAAAGAAACTGACTAGTTTGTGAGTCTCAAGGTCAGTTGGCTGTTTTGCTAATAATTGAGTGTATGCCTTAACTGATGAGTTTGGTGATTATTTGCATTTTTGTTCCCATCCACAAAGCCATAAAAAGACCAACCCCAACATTGAAATGATTCTTTGACTTGATCACAGCCTGATGTACCATATTCCTCTGTGCCATAGCACTCAGCTGTGGCCACACCACTGCCCTGACCAACACTAGCTACTGTAGGTTTCTGTCCAAATGTGGTGACAATTTTAATTGAATTTGGGAAGAGAAAAAAAAAATCACCAAAGAAAATACAAATCGATTACCTCTCGTAAAATTTAGGACTTGGTTCATCATGAGAAACAGCTGGTGGCACCAGTTCTTCAGCTGAGTCCCATTAAACCTTTGTAAAATAAGTCATCTTTTTCTTCATTCATAAACATCATGATAAATATCACATCAAGGACTTTTTATCATGGTGATATTGTACTGCACGTTTTAGGCATTGTTACATTTCTACTATAAGATTTACTTTTATTGTGCTGCCACAAATTGGAAAACTACAAATAAACTAAATTGGGGAACAAATTAACTTTAAATAATCCAATTCTACTTATTTGTTCAGCGATGTACTTAATGTGCTGCTGTAACATGTTTCACTTGATTTCGACCTTCGTTTTGTTTCATAATTACAGCATTTAGCCGAAACATATGTAATTGCATGACTAATGTGCTAGTTTGTGGTTAGAGAGTAGAATCCAAATCTTACGAGTGCTGCTCTGACGCTATTTTCATGTCTCCACACAGCAAAAAGCCAAAGAGACCTCAGAGACAGAGGCAACAGAACAACCGACTAAAACCTCTGACTCTTGCCTACGATGGGGACACGGACATGTAGTCCTCTGGGAGACGCTTCACCTGTCATACCGACCTGCATCATCACACCATGACAGTGAGGGACATGGATGTTTGTAGCATGAATGGACACATCAAAGAGCGGAGAAATTACAGTAAATCCTCTTAACACTGGAGGGGTTTAGCCGTTGCAAGTAGAGCTCCATTCACTCCCCTTTTGTTTTCGTTTTAATATTTTATTTTGCAAGGGCCTTCAAGACCTCAGTGAAATGCCTTTTCTTGCCCCCTACACGTCCACATTGTGTAAAGAAAAGATTCGTTTCCAGAGGGCTGGGTGTAGCCATCTCTAAATGTGGTGGCGTGAGCGCTAACTCTTCCCCTGTGCTTTTCTGCTTGTCCCTGAAAATGCTGAGTAGCTGGAGGCTTAGGATGCTCCGACGGTTCATACGTTGCCAAAAGTCACCACAGGGAGAAGGAGGGAGAGGAAAATCTCCAAAAAGGTTTGGATTCCTTTTTCTCGATCCTCAACTGGGTTTTGAATCTCTTCTACAGTCTCCAACAAAAGGAGCCATTTCCTCTTTTTTTTCTTGATTCAGAGGCACACGGGCCTGTGTTTGTGGGATAAACTGATCTGTACAATGCTGATTGCAGGCTGCTCCTCCAATCACTTGTTCGTGGAAACTACTGCCTGCCTGTCTCCACCCTTGCTTTGTTTCAGGCACTACCTTGCACTATATTAGTGCAGCATGATATGCACATGTGACTTCTACCTTCTATTGCCATAACACACTGCCTCTTCCACAGACAGAACCAGAACGGCTAAAGGAGAACGACGGCAACAGGAAATGATGCCTAGATGTGTCACGTTCTACAGAACCGGTGTGAACCTCCAGTAAATATACTGTGTATAAAGTTTATTTCTCACAACTGAGTTTTTGGTTGTAGTAAAATACCTTTTGTGGTTTGTAGAGTTCGTCTAGTGTTAAAACTTTATTCCTGCCCAGATGCAATTAAAGATTTCACTACGATATCTACGGGTGATTTCTTTTAATGAATCACCTGATTTAAACTTTTTTTTACCAAAATTTCAGATTGAATTCAAACCGTTTACTTTTTTACCTACAGTAGTATGTCGTGGAAAAGCTGACATTTTGCTGTGACTAAAAGATCGATAAATTTAAAACCATTCTGTCATATAAATGTCATTTCTGCCTTACCTACTGATAACTAAATACTAACTGTCCTGTAATACAGTTTAATACTTGAAGGGGGCATAGAACATACATTATAAAGAAACTTACTTTTCGTTTGATGCCACTTAGCAAAGTATGATACGGAGTTGTTAAACCTTTTCATGTAGTCACTGTATCATAGGTGCTCTATCGTCTCTCTGTCACGCTGCAAGGTTAAATATGGTAAAAATAAAACTGTACAAACAAAATTATACATGTTAATAAGAACAGGCTTCTGCTGAGTTCAGCGTAAAAGCAAACTAGTGTGGAGAATGTTTCCTTTTTTTGTTGTGGGATTTGTAAATAGCATTTTTTTTTTTCATTTTTCTTAAGTTTTTTTGGAAAAATATCAACGTATGGCTACATTTATTTTGTATTGCACAGAAAATGTTTAGTTTGAATATTGCAAAGTGGGTGTATGATATCACTGATTGTTGTTATCATGATGCAAGTGTTATGGTGTGAAAAAAGAACCGGAAACTGACGAAGGCTCAGCTGTTTTGTACAGGTTGTTTATATGTATGGCAAGAATATCTGAAAATAAATGAGGACACAGTTGTAAACACACAAAGGTAAAGCTATTGAGTCATTTTCTAATCTTCTTTATACACTCAGCTAAATGTTTAGTAGGTACACCAAGCTAAGGGGCTCTCAGATAGGACGCAGTGAGCGCTGCGCTCTGCTATTTAACCCATTCATTCCTATGCGCTGAGCTGAGCACTGCGCTCAAGTTAAAGTTCAACTTGGGTGCAGCGCTCTTTGACGACACCAACGCGTGCATTTACAGAAAACCTGACAAGACCACAAAGAAAATGGAGGAGAAGCTGATTTTGGCAGACCCACACCCTCTTCTTTTTTGCTGCAGCTCGTCTCCTCATCACACAACTAAAGCCAGTGCTTTTCGCTGACATGTAGATAGATACATCGTGCATCCAAGTCCACTGCTCGAAAAACTAGTTGATATCTGCTAACCACCTCCTAGAAAGCTTTCTGGTCTCCTAGCAACTAATGCCCAACACGGGTGTTATTTGCACATGTGCACCCTCCCCTCCTGTGCAGCACCTAACCACCGTGGCGAGCGCAGCATATACTGTACCACATCCCATCTGAAAGCCCTTTAAAACTACTGTAGTATGAATTAACAGCACACCATGAACTGTCCCAGAGAATGGCTGAGCATCCCTGTGGGAGCTCGGTATTCAAGTTAAATGATGTTTGACCCATCATTCGGCCCCACAGATGTATCAGGTCATGCCATCGTAAATCTTTAGGTCCTCATAACGAGCCACGCCATTTTCCATCCTTGATGTAGCTAAACATGCACATCCAGTGGTTCCACAGGCACCATTACATGGACACAAATTGGGCCATCCTGTTGACTGAAACCCACTGGTACAGCAAAGTATACAGCGCAGGCCCCTGTTTGTTTGCAATTACTAAGATGACTGTCAGTGCTATCTCTGTCCAGCCACACTGGTCGCCATGGAGCCGTGAACTATCAGAAGAATTTACTTTCTACTCTCTTCTCATTATAATACTAATATACACCCAGAAGAAAAAATACCAGTAGCCACCCCTAAGAATAAACTATTATTAGCAACCCTGTGGGTTTGAGAGTGAAGGCAAGTCTCGGGTAGGGCCCTTCGCATGAACCGCTGGCCTCTTTCCCGGCACCCACACACCCAACACAATCCTCCAACAGTAGTTACTATGACTTGATAATCCAGGACAGTCAATCAGGGCTACTGTTAGCAGACAATAACTTAAAGCTAACTGTTAGCAACATGCTGCCCTAGCCACTAAACATTTCAAATAATCCAACCAGACTCTTTCTGTGACTTTTTATAATCACCCAGTTTCCACCTTGTTTTAATAATCACTCAAATAAACCAGTCAAACCTTTTCTGTAGCCTCATGGTAGCTTGCTAATGCTATTACAGGACAACAAGACAAGTAGCCTCATGCATTAAACATTTTAACACGCCCAGCCTCCTGTGCTAGTTTACCTGGACTTAATCCACACATATGTTGCAATACTAGTTCTGATACGACAGTACTGCAATAAATCCTCCCACATTACAGTTTCATTGATCCAACTGTATGGTTGTTTTGAGGGATGTAGTTTGTGTTGCTGTTGATTTGCACCGCATCATCTGTTTGCTGACAGATGATTCTGTTATGTTGTCAATGTTTGGCTAAATAACTGAAACATCTCTCTGTACAATGTAGTACAGTTCAGCAGCAGCATTACTGCATTGCACAGAGAGATGTTTCTGTAATTTAGCCCAACATCACAGATATAAATAGGGTTGACAAACTAATAGAAACCTTATAACAATGCAGTTCAACAGCAACACAAACTACACCTTCTAAAATTATCTTACAGTTGTATCAACACCTCTGAAACAGTCTGAACACAAACTGAAACTTCATGGAGGATTTCTTGCAGGACTGTTGGATTAGATTTTGTTTTAGCCTTGTGTATCTAATAAAATGACAGTATGTGTCATATAAATTTAAGAGCTGTATCTAAGGGTTTTTGCACCTCATCTCGCATTTGCCTTGGAAGTACATAAAATCTGTATTTAGCTTCAGCATTTCAGAGAATATAACAGGAGCTGTGTGGCAGCTCACAGGGACACAGCATTAACCCACTGTAAACCCTTAACTAAAATGGATACAACTCAATAGGAGAAAATGTTCCTGGAATAAACAGATGATGCTGGAAACAGAGACATCAGACTTGAACATCTGCTATTTACTTGCTATATTTAACCGAAAGCCTGCGTTCCAGACTGGGCAGCATTAACTAGAGAGAGAGGATCAGACTGAAGATGCTATCAAGTTGCTTTATTGGATCGAATGATTGCGGAGCTCGACTACAGATTAAAAAGTCAGGACGTCTCGGCCTCTGCTGCTTTAATTTTGATAATGAAGTTTGTTGAAGTACAATACTAAATCTCTGGAGTCCTGCTTTAAGGAATGTTTGTTACCGATTGGATTTGACATTTGTTTACCTATAGTAAAAATACACAGTATAATTTCTGTCCAACACAAATTGAATCTCTCTTAATCCTACTTTTTTTTTTTAATTTTTGTATATACCAAAGCAAAAAAGTTTATTTTAGTTTGTCTTATTATTTTGTGTGGCAAAACTTTACACTTAAACCTTTAAATGATTTAGTTTCCGGTCAGTTACTTCCAAACATTATTAGTGAACATGATGTCAATAAACCGATGTTATTACAGGTTTTAATATGTGATTAGAGCAAAACATACACTATATAGGCATTTTCTTCTTGTATCTTACCATCTGGTAGATCTATTTAAAGCTTAAATTCTCTATTTTTAGTAGTTGCTATATTAACATAGCCTAAAAGGCCTGAAAGTAAATTGTTAAAACTGTTTTTTGCTTGTGTCAAAAATTTTACACTTTAGTAAACTCTAGTAACTGATATTAGCTTTGCTATTTGGCTTGAAAACCTAAATAATGTTTAAGCTTTTTCATGTCAGGTTACTTATTTAAATTCATAAACATGATAAGAATAAGCCATGTTGCTACATTGTCTTCCAGCGTCTCAGTGGGTCCACAGAGGTTTACAGCAGGTGATGTTAAGAAAGTCATTGCAGCTGACGGCCACTAGGTGTCAGCCCCTGACGATGTTAAAAGAAAAGTTGCTTCACAAAAGTCTATAATGTGAATCTCCTTCTCTGCCCCTCCAACTCTCTCTCTCTCTCTCTCTCTCTCTCTCTCTGTGTGTGTGTGTGCCTCAGAGCGCGCTATATAAAACATTCCTCCACACTGACACTCAGATGTACAAACACCTCCGTTCACACCACAGCGCCTCCGAACCCTGCGTCAAAACACCCCAGTAGAAGAGCAGTCGTCTGACCCTCCTGAATGAGCCTGACAAGATTAACGCGCCCTCCTGCCTCGGACCGCCTTCCACACTCCATATTTCTGCTCAAGTTCAGCAGCTCACACTGGCTCAGCCAGAAGGAGGGTTTTTCTTTTCTTTTTGGTTTTGTGGCTGAGAATACCAAGGACAGTTTGACATGAGGGGGGATGCTCAACAAAGAGGCATGAAGCCCACATCGCTGTGGGCTGCCGCTGTGCTGCTCTCAGTCCTCTCTCTGGTGAGTTAAATGTCATTTTCATTTGACCTTTTTTCATTTCCATATCCTCTAATATCTTTTCTGTGATTAATGTTTGCACTCATCTAGTAGCAGGAATATGAAGGAATGCCTGCAAAGAGACATTTGGACAAGTGAGTCATTTCAAGACCGTGTTAGTTGGTCTCTGATAATTCAAAAATCTACAAATTTTTTTTAGTAAAATTCTGTTTTTCTGTTTTCAGTATTGTTAAAAGCATGTTTTTAACTGCTTGCCTTGAATGTGACACCTGCGATGATAAATATAACACCCACTGCTCTTGACAAATTAGCAAATGTCCAACATAAGATTTCCAAATCTGGATCCTAACAAACCCACCCACCCACAGACCAGCTAGATATTTCTCCCCTCCTTTTTGCCCATTTACACCTTCGGACCAATGCGATCTGACAGTATGATAAAGAAACAGCCGGAGCCCAATTTGACAAACACAGCAGAATGCTCCTAACTCAGTGCCTTGACAGTCTTTGACAACCCAATTCCTTTAATACTCGCAGAGACAGTAACCCCTCACCCACTGATCAATCTGTCAACAAAGCAATCAAAGCAGAGCCGAAGCCACTCCTCTCTCTAACAAAAATTCCATGAACTTAATCCGCACAAACTTGACTGGCCTTAAAAAGCGCCTGTGGTGTTATCTGTGTTTAATTTGCATAGTGATGGAAAGAAGTCAATTACTATTAATTATTCTCTACAACTTAATACCCATTATCGAATTGAATTCACCCTCTTGAAAACCATAAACTCAATTTCACAGCTGACTAGGCACACTAATCATGTCCCCCCCACTACCTTTCTTTTTCTTTACGGACCTCTTCCTGCTTTGAAGGAACACAAGGATTCTTCGATTCCAGAAGCAATAACTTCCCCTAACGTGGATCCCATATTGTCACAATATAAAGACAAACACTAATCACTAAGTATGTGTCTTATATGCATAAAAGCATCATGGTAGCGAGAGCTGATCTCACAGCATCACTTGATGGGAGTGTTTTTTCCAGACTGGGCTGCCAAATTGCTTCGCTATGCTTTAATGGGATGATCATAATTGTTTCGTACTCGGTGCATCCTAAGCTCTCGCCTGCAGCGCCTTCAACAGATTGACAGACCCATGGGAACCTCACAAACTTATTTTGGCCGCCTTTGAACCAAGTCGTGTGTGAAATAATATGATTATGCATTTTTCCTCTGGGTAAGTTAGAAAACCGGTGGCTAGGGTTTTTTCTCCCTCCGCCCTCTCCTCCGTTTTCAAACCGCCCTGCTCTAATATCCCGCAGTCCATCCGCCTACTGTATTTATCCTCCTCAGAAGTCATGGTAATAATTGTGCCCTGGCCTCTCAAAGCAGTGCTGCAGTGATAGGGCTCAGCTTCATCCACAGCTGCCTGTGATGTCTTGACACACTGTGTGATCTGTCATCATCTCTCAGCCCCCTCAGGTAACACTTTGATATCACTGGGGGAATATAGACCTAAACTCTTAGTGGGCGTCAAATGTCCTGAGCTGATCCATCAGCTCGACTGAGGGGCGCCTCACAATGTGAGACAAGTTAAATTCACTCTATTGCCACAATCGCATCCCAAGTGCCTGGTCAGAAAATGCTCTAAAATGCATCAACAGGCTGAGGACTCAGACTACTTTCCTTTCTAGAGTAACATTTCATTCAAACACAGATTCTAACTAAAAACATTTTCTTCTGGTTGAAAGTGTAATAGTAAAAATACTTGTGATTTGTGGTGTCTGAAAGTCAAAAATTAGAATAAAATAAGTCTTTTCTGCGAGGTGAAGCCAGCAATTAGTGCCTCATAGCCAAAAAGTCACAGGTTTGATCCCTCAACAACTGCACGTCCTTGAGCCAAGCTCTAATAGCTCCCCACACTCTATGCCAGTTTAATACCTAAAACTTTAAAAGTAAATAAAGCCACAGAGCTTTTGTTCAAACTTTGGCTGTGTGGTATTTATGTACAAAAACTGTTAAAGGACAGCAACTCAGGTAATTTCTGGATGTTGCAGCCAGACTCAGAACACACAGGATCCAATCAAGATTGCAAAGTGGCAGCGCAAATCTGCTCCCAGCCCGGTCCTTCTCTATTCTGCCTCTGTTAAACCAGAACTGTCACACTCACAAATCTTCCCCACACAGCAGCTGCAGTATTCAGGTAAATGAAAACTGACACACACTTTCATTCTTCCTCGCAAGGTTTTGTGTACAGCCCAGCGCCGAGTCATCTGGCTCCCCTGGTGGTTCTATTAAAGGTGGAATTTGTTGGCTGTTCAGGAGTCCAGCCCATAGAATATCCTCTGAGCTCCCGCGGGAAGCCGGGGTTGGTTATCTTCCTGTTTCAAAGAGCCGGACACCTGTGCCTTATCGCAGCCTCACCGAGAGTAGATAGTATTTAGATTTGTCCAACAGGCTGCCTATATGCTGTATCTGGC